TTTTTTTTTTTTTTTGTGGTCAAACTGTGCATAAATGCCTTGGGAGACCAACCCAACGTTTGGTTTCCTCTATCCTGGCTTCAAAATTGAATCTGGAATCTCTGGCCCATTTTTTTGAGTCATCGGAAACTGCATTTTTGGGCTGGTTCTACAGATTCCTGGCCGAGGGCTGTTTATGTTGGACAAAATACCAAAAAGTTGCCATTTACCTCGGTTTTTCCCCTTTCTTTTTGAAATTTTTTAAGACTGCCGGAATTGGACCGGACTCCTGCGACGTGAAAGCCGATCACACCTTCTCTGTTTAATCCGTTTTGACCCGGTTTCTTATCCCCGTTTGTTAGTCTGGTCGATTCGACCGGACTCTTCTTGTGGGCCTCTTGTCTTATTTATTATTAGGAATTTAGGATAGAGGAAACCATGGTAACAGATAACAACTATTTATTATTAGGAATTTAGGATTCTCCTCTTCTAATTATAAAGCTTAATGAATCTTTGAGGAGGATGAGAGTGACACCATTTATGATATGATGTTGCTTTAGATTGCATTTGAGAGGCAGAAAGCTTACCAACATGTGGAAGTCCTTCTCTATTTATTTTCAAGGTCGTCTCTTTTCATGATCTAACACTTCAATGACACCTTCTGCTTCTACATAGACCCTATCCACCTGCCAATTGGGAAAGCACTTGGTTAAGGCACAACTCATGTCAGTCAACAGCTTATGACTATTAATTAGAAGTAGCTCTGTTTTGCAATTTTTTGTTTTCTATCTGATGTCTAGACTCGAAACTTTTTGCATTTTTATGACAGCAAAACAGCATCAATTTCATAAAAAAATCCTTGGTTCACCTCAGAATCAAATGACAAGGAAATTCCTTGTTCGGTTGAGCGCACCCCTTCTTTAAGGTTGTCAAGATAGTCACAAGTTTCCAATCCCTCTACTCTCACTTCACTGTTGGTAGGATAAATGATTTGTTAATATCAAAAGCTTATTGAAGATAGCACATTATACATGATGGATAAATCGATAACCAAAGTTCATTTTCAGTTATTCTATTTCTAGCGTCATCAAAACAAGCCTTTGATCATAATATAATAGCTAACCCTACCTTGTATCAAGAAGCAAGCTCACATATCATAAGATTTTGGAAAATCTTATGATTTTCTGTTACTGGTTTTCTAAAGTGGCACTAGTATAACAATCAGAAGTTAATTAACAAACCATGTTAAAGCATTGCAAAGTACTCTACTTCTAAAAGGACTAGATGAGATGGAAAATGCAGGTAGGAGTTCAATTGTGAGACATGTAATTTCTATTTCAGATGCTTGCTATGCTAGAAGGGCAGATCCATTACCCAATATCAGAGACAGCCAAATACATGAGATACGCAAATGTGAAAGTGAATGGCTTGCTACAGACATCCCGGACACGTGAAACCAGAATCAGGCTTCATTCATCTGCCAGAGCCACCCTAAGATGAAAATTGAAGCTGCAAGAGAAAAATTCATAAATGATGCACATACATATACATTACGTTCTGAGCTATAAATTGCAGGGGATCATTGTTATAGGAGTACAATGCAATGCATATAGGCACATACTTGTGTGGCCAGATCTTGAGATCAACTGAACATGGATTAAGTAGCAAGTCAACATGGGTCATGTCACTTTCTGGCAATGGTGGTGGATCACGATCAATGGTCCAAAGCCCGCCCATGGCAAATCGACGTTTCTCCAGTGTTTCTTGGTTGCCAAACTATCACATGGAATAAATGCAAGAATCAGATTAATGCAGAGTATCACCGATCAATTCAAGAACCAAATATATGAAATACCAGCAGGAAACATAGGGGAATTCCTCCTCGCACTGCATGTGGTGGAGGCTTGTAGACAGCCTACAGTACATTAAATCAGAAAGAAAAAACAAATAATTTATCAAACAGATAGAAAAAACAAATAATTTATCAAACAGATAGAAAAACCATAAAAAATGACGAAGAATATTGAAATGCAAGTATGTGGAATGGAATCAAGAAGAACAAGGGGAATTTCATCGAACAGGTTATAAAACTATCACAAGAACACAAAAATGGCGCTTTCACCATATACTTGTGAATAACTGTAGGTGGAATCAATAAGAGCAAGAATTTCAAAGAACAGATTACAAGAATCCAAAAACAGATTACCTTACTACCCGTGAACAACAGTTCTTCCTCACACTCTGTCTTCCATGATGTAACCTGCCCTCCATAGCAACTAACCTACATTGATTTCAGAGAGCAAGAAGCAAAGAAGGATTAACTCCATTGATTACCAACCATGAAAAGGTACAAGAAAGAGAAAGAAAGATTACTGACCTCAACAGTAGCCCCCTTAGGATTCCGAAGCAAAATCATCTCAACTCTATTTCTATCTCTTTCAACTTCAACCGATACTCTCAGACTCTGATCACTGGCTGCCGCAGAACCAGCCATGGCAAAAACCCAAATCAGGAAATAAAACAAGAAGAACGAAAACTCTACTGTATATCTTTTACTCTCTTTCTCTGTAAAATGAACTAGCAAATATAGAGACGAGTATAGAGAGGAGTAGAGGGTCATATATATATGTACAGCTGGCTTGCGGTTGGATTAGTTTCTTTTTGAGGAAGTAACCAGGTGACCAATTCCGTTTTTCAGTTTCCTAGCTCTTTTCACTTCAACAGAATTGGGACTGTTTTGAGAATTTCTTTTCTGTCTTGTATTCCGTTGGATTTTCCGTTCTTGGCAGTTTTAGGGGTGAAGAAAGGGTAAGGTAGTTAGTTGCATTATTAAAGAGCAAACATTTGGGATTTATATTTCCAGTCTACACAGTGCATTAAAAATGTAATTCATCTTATATATTTATTAAAATACTTTTTGATAAAATAAAATAAAAAATAATTTTATTAATGATATTTTAATAAATTTATAAAGTAAAATGTAATTTTAATATATAATCCGCTTGTAAATTCATAGTACTAGAAAACAATAGAAAATTCCATTAAAAAAAGTGGGAGAATAAAAAAAAAAAGAATGAAATTTATGCATTTTTCTCAGGCAAGACATGAATTCAAGGTAACCTATTTTGTATTAGTGAAGGAAGACTGAAAAAAAAAAGGTTGAATTCTGAGGAGATCGGAGATCATTTATATACTTTATCTTTGTTTGTATATGAAAGCTCAAAAGATTATTCATTACACCAAGGAATGAAGGAACCAGTGTGAACAGAGGACCGTGTTCAGCTGAATTAACGATCCACTGAAAAATACAAAAATTCCTTGGGGGACTTCAATAATGGACTAATGTAGGTATAATTCACATGGAAGTCCGCCTAGGAATTTTTGTATTCTTGTATCCTCAGAAAAGAGGATATTGTTACTGGAAAGAGGGAGATTTAAAAGAGGGAGTTTTGATAGTTTATAGAATTATTAAAATCAATACTTGTATGTACCAAAAAAAATCAATACTTGTCTATAAATAAAATGGATGGAAGGAATGATGAAGACAAGACGCTCTCATCTTTTTTCCAAAAGAAGTTGCAAAGAGACTAAACATTAATTCATTAAACTTTAGATGTATTATTTTTTAATTAAATTATTTCTATTTTTTCTTATTAATAATTTTATAATTTTTATAAATAGTAATTTTTTTTGATAGTTTAATGTTTAAGAATAATTTGATTCTTCTTACTCTTATTTTATTAATTTATAGTAAAATTATTATCTATATTCGTTATGGACATAGTATAAGTTATATTTTTGATTTTATCTTTAAATTATTTTGATTTTAACTATATGTCATGAGATAAAGATTCTGTTGTAATTTTTTATTATTTAATATATTTCTTTATTTTTCCAAAAAGAAAACAATTTTCACAAAGGATGTAGTTGATGATTATGATGTTTTCTTAAAATAAGGCTAATGATTTAATTACATATACAGGTTTTTTTCATGCATAATTTATTCAAGCTCGAATCCTAAGTCGGAGGAGAAGGATTTAAGAAAAAAAAAAAGAGTTATCTTATTTTATATAATCCATTCATATCTAAAAAAAAAAAAATTTTTTTTTAAATTTTTGCACACCCAATTCCTCCTTTTTAATGGAAATAGAACGAGAAGGCTCGACCAACTTAAATAGCGTACGATAGACTCATTTTATTGTGTAAGGACGTTCAACTCTTCGCAACAACCTGCTAAAAGCGCTACGAGTCACGCGAATGTTTTTTAGTAACTTTATTTATATAATCGGTTGAGCTCCGGCACTTTGTTCTTCTCACACAAGAGTGATGGCGAGAGCCAGAGCGAAGAACTTTCTAGGAAAATGTTATCGAAACAATGACTTCATCTTGGTTTCATCCTCGTCTCCACGGTACTAATTCAGCATCCAGGATTGCATTCTTGAGAGTAAGGAACAAGCAAAAGGTATTATTGAGTTGATTTTTTTTTTTTCCCAATGACTTAGGTTTTTTTTTCTTTAATTTTTTTTTTTTCATTTTTACCCAATCGAAATGGGCATGCAACCGGAGGTGATCGAGGAAATCAAACATTATTAAGGTTTGACGGACTGTGGAGAAATCGAGTAATTTCATTAATTCATTGCATATTGGGAAAGTTTGATCGATGTTTTTTTGTTGAGTTATTTTTTTTTATCAAAAGAAGTGAATGATTCTATTTTAGATTTATAATTCTTTTGAAAAATAGAATCGATGATATAATAGATCTTAAATCACCATAATCTTTAAATTTCAAAAGATTGAATGTTTAATCACTGAATCGGATTATGAATGGATTTTTTTATTTAATAAAATTAGTTGCTAATTTGTAGAATTATTTGGGAATTGAAGTTTCAGTATATGTATACTTTTTAGCCAAATAGGTTTTGTTGTTGTATTGAATGCATACTTCTTAACTATTTGTGAACTGAATTAATTTAATTTATTTCAAAATTTTGGGAGCAATAGGGTAGTAATTGGAAAATTGGGTTCAATAATTGAGCTCGAACTTTAGAATTTTTAGCTAACTTGGAATTGCAACTTCATTTGAGTTTTTTTTCTTTACTTGAGTTTTACTTATTAATTAAGATATTTGATTTCAAGTTGGAGCTTAATCTGGAGTAATAAAATGTTTTAGTATAATACCTTGAACTTGAAATCAAGTTTCTTTACATGAAATGAATATGTCATTGGCGAAAAAAATAAAAATAATAATTTTAGATAAATTATTAAATTTTTATCTAA